ATCCACATTCGAAGGGATATTCAAGCCAGATGAGTACAAGGGTGTTGCACAGATGGAAGGTCTTAGTACTGTTACAGTGACGGAGATTTTGTCTAATGAAATTGAAGACACTTTGACAATTGATCAACAGCCGAAGGACCGAAGAGCATTACCAAATATTACAGGAAGAGAAGTGGCTGAAACTATGGAAGTAGAAACTATTGTAGGTCCTGAAGAGTTTGAAAAGTTCAAAGGGCCTGAAGGCGTCAAAGGAAAGCCGCAAGTTGATACTCTCATGTCTGTTATAGTATCACAGACGATTTCTAATGAAACTGAAGAGTTTCTTCCTGGTCTTGAAGTACCATCGCAGAGGAGTGTACAGGCCAATTTAGACACTCGAGAGATCGCTGAGGTTTCTGAAGTCGAAACTATACTGACTGTTGGAGACTTTGTCAAAGCTGTAAGTCCGGAAGAAAAGAAAGGAAAGCCTGAAATAGAAGAGTTTGCTCCTTTGACGGTATCGCAAGTTTTGTCGCATCAAGATGAAATAGAAATGCCACGTCCGGAAAAACCAACCAAGCAAATCGCTCAACCAAGTCTTCTAGGTCGGGAAATAGCAGAAACAACGCAGGTAGAAACCTTACTTAGTGCTCAGAAGTTTACCGAAGAAGCGGCTCCAGAGGAAAGAAAGGTTACTTTTGGTTTGGAAGAAATGACTTCATTGATTGTTTCGCAGACAATGTCAGAAGAAGTTGAAAAGGCTCTTCCCGGTGATGAAAAACCTGCTACTAAGAAAGTCCAATTTGATATTGTTGGTCGTGATATTGCTGAAACTTCCCAAGTTTTGACCTTTGCTAGTTTCGATCAGTTAGAAGAGAAGAAACCGGGCGAACAGAAGGGCAAACCTGGTCTTGAAGAACATTCCTCTGTTACCGTATCTGAGGTTATTTCTAATGAGACTGAAGAAAATTTGACCAGTCCTGAAGTGCCTTCTACGAAGACAGCACAGTCTAATCTTTCAGGTAGAGAAATAGCTGAGACTTCAGAAGTTGAAACTCTTATGAATGCGGAAAATCTTGTTAGAGACAGTGCTCCAAAAGAAGAACAAGGCAAGCTAGGATTGGAAGAAATGACGTCTTTGATTGTTTCTCAAACGGTGTCAAGTGAAACTGAAAATTTGTTACCAGGCGAACAGATACCCAGCACCAAAACTGCACAGCCTGAAATTTTGGGGCATGACATTGCCCAAACTTCTCAAGTGATCACGATGTCGAATACTGGTGATTTTGTCAAAGACAAAGCTCCAGAAGAGAAAAAAGGTCAGCCTAGTCTTGAAGAAATGACTTCTCTCATTGTTTCGCAGACTGTATCTGAAGAAGTCGAGGAACAACTCCCCGGTCAAGAAAAACCGAGTACTAAAACTGCTCAGCCAGACATCATGGGTCGTGATGTAGCTGAAACAACTCAAGTCATCACGCTTAATGGCTTTGAAGAGTTTATTGAAGACCAACCAATGCAACAAAAGAGTAAGCCAGGCTTCGCGGAACTAACATCGATTACCATCTCACAAGTTGTTTCAAGTGAAGCTGAAACTGATATGCCGACCGCTGAGCAACCAACCACAAAAACCGCTGAAGCTGAAATATTCGGCCATGATATTGCTGAAACTTCTCAAATTGTTGCACTGTCAAGTACAAGTGACTTTGTCGAAGAACAAACTCCAGAAGGAAAGAAGGGCCAACCAAGTCTCGAAGAAATGACTTCTCTGATTATATCTCAAACTATCTCGGGAGAATTCGAAGAAGTTCTTCCAGGTCAAGAAAAACCAACCACTAAGACGGCTCAATCAGACATCACAGGCCGAGATATAGCTCAAACTACCCAAGTGATAACTATGAACAACTTTGAAGAGTTTACAGAAGATAAGGTTGTAACAGAAATGAGCAAATCAAGTTTCGAAGAATTAACATCACTGACAGTGTCTCAAGTTGTTTCGAGTGAAGTTGAAAAAGAAATGCCAAGCGCTGAAAAACCAGTCACTAAGATTGCCCAGTCAGATATCTTAGGCCACGATATTGCTGAAACAACTCAAGTCGTTACAATGTCAAGTACAGGAGAGTTTGTAGAGGATAAAGCTCCTGAGCAGAAGAAGGGTCAGCCAAGTCTCGAAGAAATGACATCTCTTATCGTATCGCAGACTGTATCCGGAGAATCTGAGCAACAACTACCAGGTCATGAACAACCGAGTTCCAAGACAGCTCAGCCAGATATTTCTGGCCGAGATGTCGCTGAAATTTCTCAGGTTATAACACTCAATGGTTTTGGAGAGTTAACCGAAGTAAAACCAGAAGAACGACGAGGTAAACCTGGATTAGAAGAACATTCTTCTGTCAATGTGTCTCAAGTAGTATCCAATGAAGTTGAGGAAGTGTTACCAAGCCCCGAAATTCCTAAGGGAAAGAAAGCCGAACCTAATTTATCGGGCAGAGAGATAGCAGAGTCTATTGAAGTCACAACTCATTTGACAACTGATGACTTTTCTACACCCCAAGCACCTGAAGGTCAGAAAGGCAAGCCAGGGTTGGATGAAATGGTTTCTGTGATAGTTTCTCAAACTATATCGAATGAAAGCGAAAATATTCTGCCAATTCAAGCACCAAGTGAAGTGACAGCTCAACCTAATCTCCTTGGTCGAGAAACTGCAGAAACAATGCAAGTGACTACTGTTTCCCATGTTCAGGAACTTGTTTCAAAAACTGCTCCAGAAGGTCAACGAGTTAAGTCTCGTATGGATGAATTTTCTTCATTGATCGTGTCAACAGCAATGTCCAATGAAGCAGAAGTGGCATTACCAACTCCTGAAGTTCCTACGGAAAAAACTGCACAGCCAAGTCTTCTTGGCCGTGAAGTTGCAGAAACTAGTCAAGTACTAACAATGACTAGTGCTCAAGACTTAGCAAGTTCTAAGTTACCTGAAACTGCTCAAGGAATGCCAGGTGTTGATGGATTAACGTCAGCTATTGTTTCTCAAGTTCTGTCGAATGAAATAGAAGAACAGTTGCCGGGTCGAGAAGTGCCAAATGAGAAGACAGCTCAACCTCAAATGACTGGCAGAGATATTGCTATGACGTCGCAGACTATCACATTGAGTAGTACAGAAGAGTTTGTAAGTTCTATGAAACCAGAAGAGCAAGAAGGAATACCAAATGTTGAAGAGTTCAAGTCAGTTACAGTTTCTCAAGTTATCTCTAATGAATTTGGAGAAAAGTTACCTAGTGCAGAAATGCCTAGTGAAGGTTTAGCTAAGCCCAGTTTGTCAGGCAGAGAAGCTGCTGAAACAATTCAAGTCACTACTGTTTCCAACACTGAGGAACTTGTAAAGGAACAAGCTCCTGAAGGTCAAGCTGTACGACCAACAGTCGATGAATTAGTTTCCTTGACTATTAGTCAAGTTGATACGAATGAAGCTGAGAAAAGTTTGCCTGAAGACGAGAAGCCGAAGAGATACCAAGCGATGAAACAAATGGATAGTATTGAAGTTGCTGAAACCACTGAAGTGATAACTGTAACGACAACAGAAAAATTACAGGAATATGCAGTTCCTGAAGAGCAACGAGGTAGACCGAATCTTGAAGAACTTGTCTCTTTGTCAATCTCTGAAGTCACTCAGGGAGAAACAGAGGATATTCTTCCTTCACCAGATGTTCCCAATAAACAATTAGCAGACTCTAGTCTGATAAGTCGACCAGTTGCTGAAAAATCTCAAGTTCTTGCTACCACAACCACCGAAGAGCTTCTCAGTGCGCCACAACCTGAAGGAAAGAAAGCTGTTTCGGAACGAATTCCATTTGAGACATTCGAACAAACTATTCAGCAGACTCACGAAGCTGAGTCTACATTAACAATCTCCAAAACAGCTACATCTGCTCATGCGGAAGTTTCTATTAAGACTTCAAAGAGCGTAGAAGTGACGCAGGTAGTGGCTACTGAGAAAGAAGCTAAAGAAGTTATCAAAGGCATGGCGAGTGAAGTTAATGCTCAGCCTGACATCATGGAAAGCCAGGTAGCCGTAACATCAGAAGTCCTACCCAAGTCAACCGTTTCTGAGTTTGATGTTGCTCAGCCAGATATGAAAACCGCGCGAAAAGTTGATGACGAGAATAGAAGTGTCATAGTAACAGATTTTGAAACGCTTGAAGAAATGGAATCAGAGTTTCCTGAGTCCGTTAAACCTTTCTCGAAGTCAGCAACAGTCACGTATGAATCCGAACATCTAGAGCAGTATGTTGGTAAGTATTTATACTCTTCTACTAGATCCGTCTAGCTTCAGTATCACAATTAGGGATGAACAGACCCAAAATACAGTCATAATACCTTCGTGATCATTCGTTATTGTCTTTGCATGTTATTATCTTCGTGATACACAAACTTAGACAATGATGTCCTTGTTAATAATTTGCGCTAGGGCTTTTATTTTGTTTAATAGGTGTAGAATAGACATGTAGATGTTTAGATTATTAGATTTTTTTGAGTAGAGTAGTTTACTGCAGACGATGGTGATAAGCGATGTAGCAGCTGGAAACAGGTGAGTATTATGTCATAACACTGAATCACACTGCACATCTTACTACACACGTCATGCACTTTGAATAAATTGATTTAATATATGTCTTATTATTGAATGTTTAATTGTAAGTTTCATCGATTGATAAAATTATCGAAAAGCCCTATTATTTAGAAGTCAAACCAAGCTGAAGCAAGCAGCAAACAACATTAACACACACAAACATAATCACATCACAACTCTTTCTCTAATAATTTCAGAAACAACAGAAGCACCAGTCCATGAATATATACAACCAACAATACACCATGATACACCAATACACAAATACACTACAGATAAAATACAGCCACAGGTGGAATCAGACACTGAGGTTACTGAAGAATACACGACGACATTTAGGCGAGGCAGTAAAGACGACAGTACTGCTATTAAAACGAAGAAGACTATTATTAGGAAGAAGAAATTGTCAAGAGATGAAAGTGATAATGTTGTTGTGATTGAAGAAGTGTTAGATGATGTTAAACCTCAGGTACAATCAATACCAAAAAAGCAATTTATGCCAATTGAAGAAGTTACAGAAGTATTTGAGAGTGATGAAACAGTTCCTTCAATTATTGAAGAAATTGAGGACGTTCCAGAAGAAACAAAAGATACTGTCGAAAAAATTGATGTCATTAATGTTCAAGAAAATGGTGATGATAGAAAAATCACGAAAAAGAAAGTTGTTAGAAGAGATAGGAAAGGACGGAAGGTTGTTATAGAAGAAACTACAGTTGAGGAGGAAGGTAGAAGTCCGATTGTTACTGAAGTACCTATGTCATTTGATGATGATGTGAGTGAGGTAGAAAAACCAACAATTATTGAACCAGAAGAAGTGAATGATGATGTAACAGTTGAAAAACCAGAAAAACAAAAAAAAGTGAAAGAAACAGGCAAAAAAAGAGATGATAAGAAAGTTACTCGAAGAAAAAAGAGAGGAGATAGTGATGAAGAACAAGTGATTGAAGATAAAAATAAGGTATCAGTGAAGATCGTTCAAGTTATGCCTGACGAGGTAGTAACAGAGGAAGTAACCGAGTTTCAGCCTGAAATAATTCATGTACAACCGACAGAAGTAGACGAGACTCGGGAAGAAGTAATGGTCACAACCGAAATAACAAAAACTGGTAAACCAAGAAGGGTCATAAAAAAGAGAATTATCCGTAGGAAAGGTAGAAAACAACAGGTAACTGAAGAGCAAACAATAGAAGAGGAAGGTAAAGCACCTATCGTTACTACTGTTGCGAATCCAGAAGAAGAAATCATACCTGAAGAAACAACAGGTGTTATAGGAGCAATTGAACCCGTTGAAGTTACTGAGAGGGAAGAAATTCGTGAAGAAGTAACAGTTACTCAAGAAGTAACTCAAACAGGCAAGCCACGAAAAGTTACGAAAAAGAAAATCATTCATAAGAGAGGTCAAAAGCAACAAGTTACTGAAGAGCAAACAATAGAAGAAGAAGGAAAAGCACCTATCGTTACTACTGTTGCAAATACAGAAGAAGAAATCATACCTGAAGAAACAACGGGTGTCATACGAGCAATTGAACCTATACAAGCTACTGAGAGAGAAGAAATTCGTGAAGAAGTAACAGTTACTCAAGAAGTAACTCAAACAGGCAAGCCAAGAAAAGTGACAAAAAAGAAAATCATTCGTAAGAGAGGTCAAAAGCAACAAGTGACTGAAGAGCAAACGATAGAAGAGGAAGGTAAAGAACCTGTTGTAACTGTTGTTGCAAATCCAGAAGAAAAAATCATACCTGAAGAAACAACAGGCGACATACAAGCAATTGAACCTGTTCAAGCTACTGAAAGAGAAGAAATTCGCGAAGAAGTAACAGTAACTCAAGAAGTAACTCAAACAGGCAAACCACGGAAAGTTACGAAAAGGAAAGTTATTCGTAAGAGAGGTCAAAAGCAACAAGTGACTGAAGAGCAAACGATAGAAGAGGAAGGTAAAGAACCTGTTGTAACTGTTGTTGCAAATCCAGAAGAAAAAATCATACCTGAAGAAACAACAGGCGACATACAAGCAATTGAACCTGTTCAAGCTACTGAAAGAGAAGAAATTCGCGAAGAAGTAACAGTAACTCAAGAAGTAACTCAAACAGGCAAACCACGGAAAGTTACGAAAAAGAAAGTTATTCGTAAGAGAGGTCAAAAGCAACAAGTGACTGAAGAGCAAACGATAGAAGAGGAAGGTAAAGAACCTGTTGTAACTGTTGTTGCAAATCCAGAAGAAAAAATCATACCTGAAGAAACAACAGGCGACATACAAGCAATTGAACCTGTTCAAGCTACTGAAAGAGAAGAAATTCGCGAAGAAGTAACAGTAACTCAAGAAGTAACTCAAACAGGCAAACCACGGAAAGTTACGAAAAAGAAAGTTATTCGTAAGAGAGGTCAAAAGCAACAAGTGACTGAAGAGCAAACGATAGAAGAGGAAGGTAAAGAACCTGTTGTAACTGTTGTTGCAAATCCAGAAGAAAAAATCATACCTGAAGAAACAACAGGCGACATACAAGCAATTGAACCTGTTCAAGCTACTGAAAGAGAAGAAATTCGCGAAGAAGTAACAGTAACTCAAGAAGTAACTCAAACAGGCAAACCACGGAAAGTTACGAAAAAGAAAGTTATTCGTAAGAGAGGTCAAAAGCAACAAGTGACTGAAGAGCAAACGATAGAAGAGGAAGGTAAAGAACCTGTTGTAACTGTTGTTGCAAATCCAGAAGAAAAAATCATACCTGAAGAAACAACAGGCGACATACAAGCAATTGAACCTGTTCAAGCTACTGAAAGAGAAGAAATTCGCGAAGAAGTAACAGTAACTCAAGAAGTAACTCAAACAGGCAAACCACGGAAAGTTACGAAAAAGAAAGTTATTCGTAAGAGAGGTCAAAAGCAACAAGTGACTGAAGAGCAAACGATAGAAGAGGAAGGTAAAGAACCTGTTGTAACTGTTGTTGCAAATCCAGAAGAAAAAATCATACCTGAAGAAACAACAGGCGACATACAAGCAATTGAACCTGTTCAAGCTACTGAAAGAGAAGAAATTCGCGAAGAAGTAACAGTAACTCAAGAAGTAACTCAAACAGGCAAACCACGGAAAGTTACGAAAAAGAAAGTTATTCGTAAGAGAGGTCAAAAGCAACAAGTGACTGAAGAGCAAACGATAGAAGAGGAAGGTAAAGAACCTGTTGTAACTGTTGTTGCAAATCCAGAAGAAAAAATCATACCTGAAGAAACAACAGGCGACATACAAGCAATTGAACCTGTTCAAGCTACTGAAAGAGAAGAAATTCGCGAAGAAGTAACAGTAACTCAAGAAGTAACTCAAACAGGCAAACCACGGAAAGTTACGAAAAAGAAAGTTATTCGTAAGAGAGGTCAAAAGCAACAAGTGACTGAAGAGCAAACGATAGAAGAGGAAGTGTTGCAAATCCAGAAGAAGAAATCATACCCGAAGAAACAATGGGTGTCATACGAGTGATTGAACCCGTTCAAGCTACTGAAAGAATAGATATTCGTGAAGAAGTAACAGTAACTCAAGAAGTAACTCAAACAGGCAAACCACGGAAAGTTACGAAAAGGAAAGTTATTCGTAAGAGAGGTCAAAAGCAACAAGTGACTGAAGAACAAACGATAGAAGATGAAGGTGGAGCACCGATCATCACAGTTGTTGCACATCCAGAAGAAGATATTATACCTGATGAAACAACAGGATTCATCCGAGCAATTGAACCCGTTCAAGCTACTGAAAGGATAGAAATTCGCGAAGAAGTAACAGTAACTAAAGATGTAACTCAAACAGGCAAGCCACGAAAAGTTACGAAGAAGAAAATCATTCGTAAGAGAGGTCAAAAGCAACAGATAACTGAAGAGCAAACAATAGAAGATGAAGGTGAAGCACCTATCATTACTGTTGTTGTAAAGCCGGAAGAAGAAATTATACCTGAAGAGACAACAGGAGTCATACGAGCAATTGAACCCGTTCAAGCTACTGAAAGAATAGATATTCGTGAAGAAGTAACAGTAACTCAAGAAGTAACTCAAACAGGCAAGCCACGAAAAGTTACGAAGAAAAAAATCATTCGTAAGAGAGGTCAAAAGCAACAGATAACTGAAGAGCGAACAATAGAAGATGAAGGTGAAGAACCTATCATCACTGTTATTGCACATCCAGAAGAAGAAATTATACCTGAAGAAACAACAGGAGTCATACGAGCAATTGAACCCGTTCAAGCTGCTGAACGAGAAGAAATTCGCGAAGAAGTAACAATAACTCAAGAAGTAACTCAAACAGGCAAGCCACGAAAAGTTACGAAGAAAAAAATTATTCGTAAAAGAGGTCAGAAACAGCAGGTTACTGAAGAGCAAACAATGGAAGATGAAGGTGAAGTACCTATCATCACTGTTGTTGCACATCCAGAAGTAGAAATTCTACCGGAAGAAACAACAGGTGTCATACGAGCAATCGAACCAGTTCAAGCCACTGAAAGAGAAGAAATTCGCGAAGAAGTAACAGTAACTCAAGAAGTAACTCAAACAGGCAAGCCAAGAAGAGTGACGAAAAAGAAAATCATTCGTAAGAGGGGTCAAAAACAGCAGGTTACTGAGGAGCAAACAATAGAAGAACAAGGTAGCGCACCTATCATCACTATTGTTGCACATCCAGAAGAAGAAATTATACCTGAAGAAACAACAGGTGTCATACGATCAATTGAACCCGTTCAAGCTACTGAAAGAGAAGAAATTCGCGAAGAAGTAACAGTAACTCAAGAAGTAACTCAAACAGGCAAACCACGGAAAGTTACGAAAAGGAAAGTTATTCGTAAGAGAGGTCAAAAGCAACAAGTGACTGAAGAGCAAACGATAGAAGAGGAAGGTAAAGCTCCTGTTGTAACTGTTGTTGCAAATCCAGAAGAAAAAATCATACCTGAAGAAACAACAGGCGACATACGAGCAATTGAACCTGTTCATGCTACTGAAAGAGAAGAAATTCGCGAAGTAGTAACAGTAATTCAAGAAGTAAGCCTAACAGGCAAGCCGCGAAAAGTCACAAAAAAGAAAATCATTCGTAAGAGAGGTCAAAAGCAACAAGTGACTGAAGAGCAAACGATAGAAGAGGAAGGTAAAGCTCCTGTTGTAACTGTTGTTGCAAATCCAGAAGAAGAAATCATACCCGAAGAAACAATGGGTGTCATACGAGTGATTGAACCCGTTCAAGCTACTGAAAGGATAGAAATTCGCGAAGAAGTAACAGTAACTAAAGATGTAACTCAAACAGGCAAGCCACGAAAAGTTACGAAGAAGAAAATCATTCGTAAGAGAGGTCAAAAGCAACAAGTGACTGAAGAGCAAACGATAGAAGAGGAAGGTAAAGCTCCTGTTGTAACTGTTGTTGCAAATCCAGAAGAAGAAATCATACCCGAAGAAACAATGGGTGTCATACGAGTGATTGAACCCGTTCAAGCTACTGAAAGGATAGAAATTCGCGAAGAAGTAACAGTAACTAAAGATGTAACTCAAACAGGCAAGCCACGAAAAGTTACGAAGAAGAAAATCATTCGTAAGAGAGGTCAAAAGCAACAAGTTACTGAAGAGCAAACAATAGAAGAAGAAGGTAAAGCACCTATCGTTACTACTGTTGCAAATCCAGAAGAAGAAATCATACCCGAAGAAACAATGGGTGTCATACGAGTGATTGAACCCGTTCAAGCTACTGAAAGAGAAGAAATTCGCGAAGTAGTAACAGTAATTCAAGAAGTAAGCCTAACAGGCAAGCCGCGAAAAGTCACAAAAAAGAAAATCATTCGTAAGAGAGGTCAAAAGCAACAAGTGACTGAAGAGCAAACGATAGAAGAGGAAGGTAAAGAACCTGTTGTAACTGTTGTTGCAAATCCAGAAGAAGAAATCATACCTGAAGAAACAACAGGTGACATACGAGCAATTGAACCTGTTCAAGCTACTGAGCGAGAAGAAATTTGCGAAGAAGTAGCAATAACTCAAGAAGATACTCAAACAGGCAAGCCACGAAAAATTACAAAAAAGAAAATCATCCGTAAGAGAGGTGAAAAGCAACAGATTACTGAAGAGCAAACCATAGAAGAAGGTGAGGCACCTGTTGTTGCAAAACCAGAAGAAGAAGTCATTCCTGAAGAAGCTACTGGACCTATTTCCTCTATTCCGTACGATAGATCTATCAACAACGAAGAAATTCGGCAAGAAGTAACCGTTACAGAAGATACTTCAGCCGAAGGCAAGCCACGTAAAACAACTAAGAAAAGAATTATTAGACGTAAAGATATGAGACAACAAGTTATTAAAGAACGTACTGTGGAAGAAGAAGGCAAAGCTCCAGTCGTTACTGTTGTTAGAGAACCTACTGAAGAAGTTGTTACTGACGAAACTTCTCAAACGTTACCAGATGAAACCCATCAAACTGTTACTATTACTGAAGATACGAGTCCTGAAGGTCATCTTGTAAAGACAACAAAGAAGAAGATTGTTCGTAAGCGTGGTAAAAAGCAACAAGTCATTGAAGAAAAAACTACTGAAGAAGAAGGCAAAGCTCCAGTTACAGAAACTGTAACACAACCTGAAGAAGAAATTATTTCTGATTTGGTAGTCCAGCCACTTCCTGTTGGTCAATTTGGAACAACGTCAGAATGCGAAGAAATCCGGGAAATAGTTACGGTTACTCAGGACACATCAAATGTTGGGAAAGCTCGTAAAATAACAAAGAAAAAGTTAATTCGTAAGAGAGGTACGAAACAGCAAGTTACTGAGGAACAAACCATAGAAGAAGAAGGAAAAGTTCCAGATACCATTACAATTGTACAACCTGAAGAAGAAATCATTCTCGAAGAAACAACTAAGCCACTACTGCTTTCTACTTCCGATGAACTTGTTCAACTCTTAGATGCCCTTGAAATTCCAGAAATTACTGAAGTTAAGAAAGTAAAACCGAAGAAGAAGAAAATCGTTCCAAAAAAGGATGAGAAAAGTGAAGATCAAGCTTCAGTTCCCATCGAAGAAATAATAGAAGCATCTCCAGAAGAAGTAATTGAAATTACACCTGAAGAAACACACGAAATCGTCACAATAACTCATCAAAAAACAACTAAAGGTAAACCAGTGAAAGTTACTAAGAAAAAGATTATTCGGAAGAAAGGTAAGAAACAACAAGTGATAGAAGAAAGAACAATTGAAGAAGACGGACAAGCACCAGTAACTAAATTTATTGTTGAACCGGAAGAGGAGATAATTTACGATCGTTCGACGGAACCTCTTCCCACACCAGAAACAGCTACACCAGTTGAGGGTGAAGAAATTCAAGAGATAATGACAGTCTCTACAGAAATTACTGACATCGGCAAGCCACGGAAGATTACCAAGAAAAAAGTTATTCGCAAAAAGGGTAATAAGCAACAGGTAACTGTTGAAAAAGTGATTGAAGAAGATGGAAAAGCTCCAGTGAGAGAATCTACTGTTGAGCCTGAAGAAATAATTATTTCTGAAGATTTTGCAGCACCACTTCCAGTTTTTGCTCGTGAAATACCACAAGAAAAAGAAGAAATTCATGAAGTTGTTACAGTTACGACAGAATGGACTAAGAATGGAAAACCAAAGAAAATAACAAAAAAGAAAACAATCCATAAAAAAGGTAAAAAGCAACAGATTGTAGAGGAGAAAACAGTTGAACAAAGAGGAAAACCAGCGGTAAAAACATTCACTGTTCTGCCAGAAGAAGAAATTATTTCTGAAGAAAGTACATTGCCATTATCGACTACCGTGCATGTTCGGCCTTCTGATCGTGAAGAAGTTCGACAAGAAGTTACTGTTTCAGAAGAAATAACAGATGAAGGAAAACCACGTAAAGTAACAAGAAAGAGAGTTATTACAAAACGGGGTAAAAGAATTCAAGTTTCTGAGGAAAAAGTTATCGAAGAAGAAGGAAAAGCTCAAGTATCTGAATCGCTTACTGGTCCAGTAGAAGAAATCATTTCTGATGAGACTCTAGAGCCGATACCTTTTGTTGAATTCGAACAACCTACTGTGATTGAAGAAATTGAAGAGCCAGTAACAATTACAGAAGAGAAGGTTCTGGAGGATAAAGCAGATGAAACTCCGAAGAAAAAAGGCAAAAAGCGTCCTAAGACTGATAAGAAACCAGTCGAAGCTGCCGAATCAGCTATTCCGGATGAAATCCCAGAAGAAATCGACTCAGGTGTTGAATCCGTTGAGGCAACTGAGAGTGAAGAAACAAGAAATCTAGTCACAGTTGTTGAAGAAACATCAGAAACTGGAAAAGCACAGCGAGTTACTAAAAAGAAAGTAATCCGTAAGAAAGGCAAAAAACAGCAAGTCACTGAAGAAATAACTATCGAGGAAGATGGAAAAGCTCCAGTAACAGAAGTAATTGAACAACCTGTAGAAGAAATCGTACTTGAAACGACTGGAACTATTCTTGAAGAATCCATTCAACCTATAGAAGAAGAGATCCGTGAGGTTGTTACTGTTACCAATGAAATTACAGACAAAGGCAAGCCTAAAAAAGTCACCAAAAAGAAAATTATTGTAAAGAAAGGTTCTAAACAACAAGTAACTGAAAAACAAACAGTTGAAGTGGAAGGTGAAGCTCCAGTAACTCAAGTCGTTGTTGAACCAGAAGAATACATCGTAACTGATGAAACAATTCAATCAGTACCTGATGTGGAGTATGGTAAGCCATCTGACACGGAGGAAGTTCGGGAAATAGTGACGGTTACTCAGGAAACAACAGAAACTGGAAAGCCTAAGAAAGTAACTAAGAAAAAAACTATCCGTAGGAAAGGTCAGAAACAACAAGTTACTGAAGAAAAAATAGTTGAGCAAGAAGGTAAAGCTCCTAAAAGAACAGTTGAAGCATTGCCTGAAGAGGAAATTATTTTAGAGGAGGTTACTATGCCGATGCCTGAAGAAATATTTCAGGTTGTTTCTGTGATTGAAGATGTTACACCAGAAGGTAAGCCACTACGTATTGTTAAAAAGAAAACTATTCGCAAAAAAGGTAAAAAGCAACAAGTTGTTGAGGAGAAGACGGTGGAAGAAGAGGGTCAAGCTCCGGTAACTGACATCACTGTTGAGCCGATTGAAGAAATAGTTGTTGATGAAACCGTTGAAACACTTCCATTAGATAAAAAAATGAAACCGAAAATGAAGAAGAAGCCTAAAGAGGTCAAACAAGTTTCAGAAGACATTCAAACACTGAAGGATAAATTGAAGCCACTGAAAATGAAAGTTGAAATGAAGGAATCAAAGCCGAAGAAATTAGAAATTACTTCTCCGCAACCGTTATTTGCTAAATTAAAATTGAGAAAAGCTCCGATACTTAAAGCTAAAGATAAAAAAGATAAATTTCCCAGAGTTCTTCTGCGTAGTCGAATCAACTTCTTTGAGTATCCTCCATTGATGCATTATCCAAAGATAACCTTGCTCAAGCCACAGTTTGTTCAAACGGGAGTGCTTTCACGGAACATGGAAGAAGCTATAAAATTGAAAAAGAAAAAGATGAAAAAGTTTAAACCTCATGATTATGATCAGGAAGAGTTGGAGAAATTAGACCTAGAATTTGAGGAAGCAAAGAAGCCTCTTGAGCAACCAGAAGAAATGGAACCTTACAAACGTAAGCCTAAGCCTGGTAAGCCTGAAGAAAAACCTGCAGAGAAGTTGAAACTGGGCAAAGGCAAGCTTCTACCGGATGATGAAAGTCCAGAAGGTGTAACATTGAAAAGAATACCGAAAAAAGAAAATCAAGATGAGTCTGAAACAAAACTGAAACCTACGGATAAAAAGAAGCCTAGCGAAAAAAAGAAGCCTAAGAAGGAAAAAGAAGGGCCGGAAGGTCCTACATTTGAACCTTATGACATCAAGCCATTTGAAACTGATCTTGAAAAGAGGGAGCCTTTGGAAGAGAGAGAAATGCCTGAAAGTTCTAAAAAAGACGATCAGAAAAAACCAAAACGGAAGTCTAAAAAACCTGAGCAAGAGTCAAACAAGGTTGACATTGTTCCAGGCAAGCCTAAGCCCGGAGATGAAGACGAAACTCCTAACTTGAAATTGAAGTACAAACAAGGTCCGAAGCCTGAAGAAAAACCAGAAGAGATCAAATTAAAACCATGGAAAAAACCTAAATCTTTAGACGATGAAGAAAAACCAACTGATGACAGTTTGCGGTTCACTTCGCATGATCAAGAGCATGATGATACGCCGGAGGAAATTGAAACAATAACTACTCAGGAAATTGTAAAGATACCTTCGAAGAAACCGAAGAAAATTACTACTAAACGGATAACAAAGAAGAAAGGTGATCAGCAACAAGTCACTGAGGTAAAGACAATCGAAGAGGACGGAAAAGTGCCTGTTTGTTCAGTAACTGAGTATCCTGTTGAAGAAGTTGTATTCGATAAGATAGTTCCAGTTGAATCAGAAACATTGGTGCCGACAGTTCATGAAGAAATTCGTGAACAAGTTACTATTTCTGAGATCACTACAGAAGAAGGTAAGCCACAGAAAGTAACAAAGAAACGGACTATTAAACGACGAGGTAAGAAACAACAAGTGATTGAAGAAAAGACTATTGAAGAAGAAGGTAAACAACCGATTGTTTTGCTTAGCGAAACAATAAATGAGGAAGTTATCAATGAAGATACCTATCAGACTATCGATGCCGTTGAAGAAATAACACCAATCGTAACTGAAGAAACAACTGAGCAGGTTACGGTGACGGAAACTATTTCTGCTGAAGGTGTTCCTCAGAAACTGACTAAAAAGAAGACAATTAAGAAAAAAGGAACTAAGCAAAATGTGAGAGAAGAAATTACTATCGAAGAAGCTGGTAAGACTCCAAGGTTGAAGACAAGTGAGCAAGTATTTGAAGAAATTCCATGCTTGCCTGACCAAGAACAAATTGAGCCAACAATTGTGGAGGATGTAACTGAGGACGTGCAGATTACAGAAACTGTTACCAGAATAGGCAAGCCGAAGAAATTCACAAAGAAAAAGACTGTTAGAAGAAAGGGATCAGTTGAACAGGTTACTGAGCAAATCGTTGTTGAAGAACAGGGCAAAGCTCCAGTCACTTTAACTATCAGTGAACCGACTGAAGGAACTGTCGGGGATGAAGAAGCTGTTGAGTTTTTGGTAACGCTTGATGGACTGGTTCCAGTTGAGGAAATAACGGAACAAGTTATTGTTACAGAAGAAATTACAGTGAAAGGTAAACCTAAAAAGATGGTGAAGAAACGGGTGACTAAGAAAGCTGGCAAGAAACAACAGGTAACAGAGACAACTTTGGTTGAAGAGGAGGGTAAAGCACCTCTGACAAGTGTAGAAGAACAACCTGTGGAGGAAATCTTGGTTGATGAATTTACTGAAATCATACCTGTGGCTGAAGAAGCAGTGCCTTCGGAAGTTGAAGAAGTAAAGGAACAAGTTGTGGTTAGTGAAGAGGTCACTTACGAAGGACAGCCAAAGAAAACAACCAAGAAACGAAAAATCATGCGAAAAGGCAAGAAGCAAAAAGTAATTGAAGAAATCACAACTGAAGAAGGTGACCAAGCACCTAGAGTAGAGATTATTGAATATCCAGAGGAAGAAGTTATTTTTGAAGAGACGGTGAAACCATTTGAAGCTGATGAAGTTGAGGAGGACACTGAATTGGTTCCGATTACTGAAACTACAGTTGTAGAGGAAATTACTCCTCAAGGAAAACTAAAAAAGACAAGCAAGAAAAGGAAAGTTGTAAAGAAACCAGATGAAGAGACAAAGGTCATTGAAGAGACTATCATTGAAGAAGAAGGAAAAGAGCCAGTTGAGACAGTTGAAGAAATACCATTAGAAGAAATTCAGCAAGATAAATTGAAAAAACGAACGAAAGCAAAGAAACCCAAGGATAAAACTGTGGATGAGACTGAGGATATCCAAGATGTGAAAGAAAGGCTGAAACCTCAGCCAATTAAACGGGTTGAAGATAAAAAACCTCAGAAACCAAAGATACAAGAACCTGAAAAACCACAGTTTGGGTTAATAAAGTTGAAAAAGGTTCCAGTGAAGCAAAAAGATGTCAAGAAGGAAAAATTCCCGAAAATTATGCTTCGTAGCCGAATTCAGTTCTTTGGATGGCCACCGAGTGAAAGAACAGCAAAAATTTCTTTGTTAGAACCTATTGAAGTTCAGAATGGAATCTTATCTCACAATGTTGAAGAAGCTCTGAAGTTGAAGAAACCTAAGCAAAAGAAAAAGAAGCCACAAGGTTTCGATGAAACAGTATTGGAAAAATTGGATACTGAATTTGACGAATTGAAGAAAGTTCCTTTAGAGGAGGTTGAAGATAAATCTGTTTATCAGCGAAAGCCAAAGAAAGAAAAGCCTGAAGATAAGGATGAGAGAAAATTAAAGATGGGTAAGGGCAAAGTTCCAAAAGATGAAGAAAATAAGGAACAAATAACACTGAAAAAGATTCCACGGAAGCCTGAAGAAAAGGTTGAGGAAGAAAAGACAGAGATCCCGGCGAAGCAGAAGAAAGAAAAGAAAAAAGATATCCCAGAAGATAGAGATCAACCTGAGCTTCTTCCATTTGAACCACATGACATTGAACATGAGAAACCTGACTTAGAAGAACGGAGAATCTCTGAACCAGAAGAGGAAGAAACACCTGTTCAAGAAAAAGATAAAAAGAAAAAGCCTAAGCAGAAACCAAAAAAGCCGATTGCCGAAGTAGAGAAAATTGAAATCAAACCTGGTGTTCCTAAGAAAGATCAAACGGATGAAAGTCCAGAGTTGAGATTGAAAGCTAAACAGGGACCTAAACCTGAAGACCAACCGGAAGAAATCAAACTCAAGCCCTGGAAAAAACCAACGGATGAGAAGTCAATAGAAGAAAAACCTGACGATGAGGTCAAGTTTACTCCAACTGATATTGTTGATACCGTTGTCACTGAGGAAATCAAAAAAGAGCCAGGTAAAAAATCGAAAAAGATAATAAAGAAGAAAATTATTCGAAAGAAGAAAGATGGCAAGCCAGATGTGACTGAAGAAGTTACGATTGAAGAAGAAGGAGAGGCACCAGTTACAACAGTTTCTTCAATTCCTCAGGAAGAAGTTGTTCCAGAAGAGATTGCTCAAGATTTTGTAGTTGCTGAGCAGAAAGCTCAACCTACGATTGTCGAGGAAATACGTGAGGAAGTTGAAGTATCTGAAGTTATAACTGAAGAGGGTAAACCCAAAAAAGTCACTAAGAAACGCAAAACAACTAAGAAAGGTGATCATGGAAAGGTTATTGAAGAAATAGTAGTTGAAGAAGAAGGCAAAGCACCTGAACAAACAGTCGTTGAGTATGATCTTCCTGAAGAAGAAAAATTAGATACCAAAAAGACATCTAAGAAAAAACCAAAGAAACTGTTGAAGTCTGATGTTACGGTTGAAAAACCGAAAGATGAAAAGCCGGTATTGCAGAAAATAAAAAAGGGAAGTCAGAAACCTACTGCTTTGGAAATAAAAGAACCAGAAGTTCCTTTATTTGCTCAGATTAAACTAAAGAAAGCTCAGCCTGTTCGTAAGCCCAAAGAGGAAGTCAAAAAAGATAAATTTCCTAAAGTATTATTGCGGAGCAGAATCACAGACCATGAGTGGCCGCCGGCTATTGAGTATCCAACGGTTTCAATTATTGAACCCAATGATGTTCAGTCTGGAATTCTCTCACGTAATATGGAAGAAGCTTTGAAAATCAAGAAGAAAAAACGGAAGTTGCCTAAGCCAACAGATAAAGAACTGGCAGATTTGGAGAAATTGGACAAGGAATTTGAAGAAATCAAAAAGGTTCCATTGGAGAAGGTTGATGATAAAGTACCTTATGAAAGAAAACCGAAGCCTAAAAAAGCAAAACCTGAAGAACCGGAGAAATTGAAAATTGGTAAAGGAAAAATCAAACCGAAAGAAGAAGATGAGATAGAAAAGGTGAAATTGAAGAAGATACCGGAGAAAAAACCAGAAGAGCAAGAAGAACAGAAACCTGCGAAGAAAAAGAAAACTCCTGAGGATAAAATTAAAGAACCAAAAGATGACAAAGAACATCCTGAGCTTTCACCATTCGAGCCTCATGAAATTCCTGAAGGTGAGGTCGATCTAGAACAATTTGAAAAACCTGAATTTGAGGATAAAGAAAAACCAGATGACAAGAAACCTGAAAAGAAACAAAAGAAGCCGAAGAAAATGAAACCGATGCCTGAAACAGAAACTATTCCGATAGTTCCTGGAGTTCCTAAACCGAAATCTGAAGACGAACAACCTGATGTCAAGTTTAGGATTCCTCAGAAACCAGAGCAAGAAGAAAAGCCAGAAGAAATTAAACTTAAACCTTGGAAAAAACCCGATGACAAACCTGATGAAGAAACAAATGACGACGATGCAATAAAATTCACTCCACGTGAATTTGAAGAAGTGATTGAAACAGTTGTTACTGAAGAAGTAGAAGACTCTGTCAGTAAAAAACCTAAGAAAATTACTAAGAAGAGGACAACTAAGAAACGCGGTGAAGAAAAGCCTGTAGTAACTGAAGAAATCACTCTTGAAGAAGAAGATAAACTTCCTGTAACAACAATTATCTTTGAAGATATACCTGAAGATCAAGTAGAAAATCTTGATCTTGAGAACTTAGATACTCCGAAATTGGCAAAGCCTAAAGTTGTCGAAGAAACTCGTGAAGAAATAACGGTAACAGTCGTGGAAACTGAAGAAGGTAAGCCGAAGACAACTCGACGTAAGAAATTAATCAAAAAAGACGGTGATAAAGAGAAAATTACTGAAGTAGTAACTGTTGAAGAAGATGGTAAAGCACCAATCACAAACATTATTGAAACAACTGAAGACACACAACAAGTACACACAAAACTTAAACACAAAAAGCCCACACAACCAAACGATGTCAAGTCGAGTCCAGAAGGTGAGCTTTACTTGTCACATTTTACTTATTACTATTACAATTACTATTACTTTACATTTTTATATTTTTATTCTATAAAATATATATTCTTTTACTTACACATTGTACAGCAATGTAAACAACAGTATTATTACATTCCTTTGTTGAATAAATTTATCATTGATACTAATAGAGTGGTGTGAATATTTACTAATTTATCCTTAAGCCCCGTGCAAAAAATTCATAGATCTATGGATCTCATCCTTTAAAACAAGAATTAGTTTATTATTTAAATATACTTAAATATTCATATAAGAAAAGCTCATTAGGAAAAATTTTAATTCTTTTTTGATAATCTCATTTTTGTTTCAAAATATAAATTTAAAGATGAAATTCATACAAAGATAAAAATATTTTTGCATGGGACTCTGTAAATTTTATATCATATACTAATTGAATATTTAATTGTACAGGTATCACCGAGGAGTCTATCAAAGAGGTAAGAATTCTTATATTCATATTTGAACGTTAAATTTATTTATTAACTGTCATTTAATTTGCTGACAGGATCTTATCGAGGAAGTAGTTGAGATAGTTGAGACACCGACCCAGATAACAACTAAGAAGAAAAAGCCAACTAAAAAAGGAAAGAAGGAGGAAATAGTCACGGAAGTCATCGAAAAAGCTCAAGAAGATTCAGTCTTCATGGAAGAGCAGCAGATTGTAGAAATAAAGGAAACACCAGAGAAAAAAATCATTAAGAGAAGGACATCTGTCATTCGAGACGACGGAGTTCCTGAGGAAGTTATCGAAGAGATTGTTATACTTAAGCCCAAGAAAGAAAAAGCCAAGCCGATCGTTGAAGAGCTTGAAACTGCAAGCATCACGGGAGTTGAAGTTAGACAGGCGCCGGAAGAGGTCGTCAAGGTCGAGGAAGAAATAATTGAAACTGTTGAAACACCTACTCAAAGGACTGTGAAGCGGAAGAAGAAGGCAACCAAGGATCAGGTTGAACAAGTCGTTGAAGAAGTTATCGTCAAAGCAGTTGAAGAGCAAAAGATTATGGAAGATCAGAAGATTGTTGAGATTACAGAGACACCTACGAAAACAGTCATCAGAAGGAAGTCGATTGTTATACGCGATGATAAAGTTCCTGAAGAAGTTATCGAAGAGATTGTTCTTATAAAGCCACAGTTGGAAAAAGCAAAACCTGTTGTAGAAGAGTTGGATACTGCTAAAGCTACAAAGCCGAAAGTTCTCAAGGTTCCTGTTAAAGGTCAAGTTGATGAAACAAAGGAAACAACAGAAGAAATAGTATTGAAGAAGCCAACCAAAGAGAAAGCTAAACCTGTGGTGGATGAATTGGAAACTGTCAGTATAAGTGAGGTTGAAGTATTAGAAATTTTGGAAACACCAAAGACTAGGATCACCAAAATGAGAAAACCAGCGAAGAAAGATGAACCTGAAGAGCTTGTTGAGCAAATTGTTCACAAATTGGATGAAGAAGCGACTTTGATGGAAGAGCAAAACATTGTTGAAGTTAAGGAAACGCCAACTAAGACGATAATAAGACGGAAGTCTATTACTATCAAAGATGGAGTTGCTGAAGAAACTATTGAAGAAATAGTTATTCAAAAACCTAAGAAAGAACGCGCTCATTCGATTGTTGATGAGCTTGGTACTGTTACTATCAGAGAAGTTGATGTTCGTGAAGGTCCAGTAGAGGAAACTATCATTGAGACTGTAGAAACTCCATCGAAGGTTGTTGTAAAGAAAAAGAGGAAGTCTATCAAGGAAGACAAGCCGGAAGAAATCATTCAGGAAGTCATTACCAAAACGAAGAAAGAGAAGAAAGTTATGGAAGACCAAAAGATTGTAGAGATTACTGAAACTCCGGAAAAGAAGATCATTAAAAGAAAAACTTCTGTTGTTCGTGATGATGGTGTTCCTGAAGAGACTATTGAAGAAATCGTTATCCACAAACCAGCTAAAGAAAAAGCAACTCCTATTGTTGAGGAGCTTGAAATGGCCAGGATTATAGAGGCTGAAATTCTTCAGGGTCCAGCAGAAAAAGAAGTGACCGTTATCGTAGAAACTCCAACTAAGAGAGTGGTCAAGACCAAGCAACCAGCGAAGAAGGATGAACCGGTGAAGGTTACTGAAGTAATAACTATGAAGCCGATGGAGGAGACTACTTTCATGGAAGAACAACAGATTGTTGAGATCACAGAAACTCCATCGAAGAAGATAATCAAGAGGAAAATTCCTACTGTTGGAGAAGATCAAACATCAGAAGAAACTATTGAGGAGATTATTGTTTTGAAACCAACAGAAGTGAAAGCGAGGGCTATTATAGACGAGCTTGGTTGTGCGACAATCACCGAAACCGAAGTGATTGAAGTTGTAGAAACTCCTAAAACAAGAACAGTCAAGACAAGGAAAGTATCGATCAAGGATAAGCCAACTGAAATAATTGAACAGGTGACTATTAAGCCTGTTGAAGAAACAACATCTATGGAGGAACAACAAATAGTAGAAATCACTGAAACTCCAAAAAGGACTGTCATCAAGCGGAAAGTTGCCGTTACGAGGGATGACCAAGCGCCTGAAGAAACTATTGAAGAGATTGTACTTCTAAAACCGAAGAAGGAGAAAGCTAAAACGGTAGTTGACGAACTTCAGACGGTTGAAGTTAGTGAAGTTGAGGTATTGGAAGTTATTGAAACGCCCAAGACTCGAGTTACTAAGGTGAAGAAACCATCTAAGAAGGACGAACCTGTCGAAGTCGTTGAAGAAGTTGTTCACAAGCCTGAAGAAGAAGCAATTCTGATGGAAGAACAGCAAATTGTTGAGATTAAAGAAACTCCTACGAAGACTATTATCCGGAGAAAATCTATTACGATCAAGGATGGAGTACCAGAAGAGACTATTGAAGACATTGTTTTGCACAAACCAAAGAAAGAACGTGCTCATTCAATTGTTGATGAACTTGGGACTGTTAATATTACAGTTACAGATGTTCTCGAGGGTCCTGTAGAAGAAACTGTCATCGAAACGGTTGAAACGCCGGAGAAAATTGTGACAAAGAAACGGAGAAAGTCTATCAAAGAAGACAAGGCTGAAGTTGTGGAGGAAGTTGTGATCAAGCCGAAAGAAGAGCAAAAGATTATGGAGGACCAGAAGATTGTCGAAGTTGTAGAAACAACCAAGAAGAAGGTTATCAAGAAAGTTAAAGCAGTTGTGAATGAAGATGGCATGCCGGAAGAAATCATTGAGGAGATTGTTATTCACAAACCTCAGAAAGAGAAGGCCACTTCTGTAGAAGACAAGCCCGAAGAAGTTAAGGTTAGTAAGGTTAAGGTTCAAAAGGCTCCAAAGAAACCAGAGGAAAGTAAGGTTGAGAAAATTGAAGAAACAGTAGAGGAAGTTACGCCTGAAAAACCTAAGAAGAAGAAAGCAGAAAAGGTTATCACGCCTAAAGAAAGCGTGGAGACGACGGAAGTTGTCACTGGTGTTACGATTGAAGAACTTCCGGATGAAGAGAAACCGAAAGAAGAAGCAGCTACTGAAATAGCTCCTGAAAAAGAAGAGAAACCAAAGATTTCAGAAGTTCCAGTTAGTAAAGCTGAGGAAAAACCGAAGACTGCAGAAGTAGAAGAGGTTAAAGAACAAGTTGAAGAAGTAACACCCGAAAAGCCGAAAAAGAAGAAAAAAGCTGAGAAAACAGTCACTTTCAATGACAATCTTGTCACTACGGAAATTATTCCATCGAGAAGGGCTGAAGAGTTCCCTGAGGTAAAGCCTGAAGAACAGAAAGCGAAACCGGTAGAGGAAGAGAAATTAAACGGTCATGTGCCTCAAGAAGTTGTTGAAGTAAAAGTGAACGAAGAAACTACAGAAGTTAAGAAAGTTAAGAAGACCAAAAAGAAAAAACCAGCTAAAAAAGCGGATTGGGAAGAGTGGGTTGAGCCTGAGTATGAACGTCCAGTTTTAGAACCCATGCCGGAAAAGATTCAATGGGAGCCGTCGAAGAAGAAGGAAGAAAAACCGGTATCAAAAATACCTCAGAAACTTGTCCCACAGAAAGTTGAAAGAGTTACGGCACATAAGGCAACAAAACTTCAATTTTCAGAGGCAAAGGAAGAAGTTCAATTTGGAACGGTTAAATTGAAGAAAGCAAAACCTATTGAAAGGAAGGATGCTCCGAAAGTTGAACTGCCGAAATTTATGTTGAAGAGTCGTATTACGTTCCATGGAGAATATCCACCGGAATTGCAATACCCGGAATTGACAGAAATTGAACCAAATCCTGTTCAGACTGGAATTCTTTCGCGAAATATTGAGGAAGGGTTGAAGGTTATCAAGAAGAAGATGAAGAAGGTCAAATTATCGGAAAAGGAAGTTGTAGAGTTGGAAAAGTTGGATAAAGAATTTGAAGAATTGAAAAAAGTTCCACTTGAGAAAATTGAAGATAAATCTATTTATGAAAGGCCAGCGAAGAAACCTAAAGAAGAAGAAGAACAGCCTAAACCTCTAGTTATTGGTAAAGGTAAAGTTCCTGAAAAGCCTGAAGAAGTTCCAGAAGAAATAAAATTAAAGAAAATTCCAGAAAAGAAACCAGAGGTGGTTGAAGAAAAACCGAAAAAGCCTAAGAAAGAACAACCAGAAGAAAAGCCCAAAGAGAAGAAAGAAAGGAAACCATCAGTTAAATTGGAACATGAAGACTTCAAGCCGTCGGACTTTGAAAGGCCTGAATTGGAAAAATATGTTCCAGAAGAGCCGGAACGTCCTGAAGAGCCTACACCTGAGGTTGAAGTAAAACCTCCGCCTAAGAAACCAAAGAAGAAGCCGGATCAGGAAATTGAACAGGTACCAATTGTTCCAGGCGTTCCAAAACCACCGGAACCTGAAGAACAACCGGAGGTCAAATTCCGTATACCCGAAAGACCAAAACCTGAGGAAGAACCAGAGAAGATTACGCTCAAAGGTTGGAAAAAGGGTGAACCGGAAGAAGAAGGTGTTCAAGAGCAACCTCAACTGGAAATTAAGCTACAACCAAGTGTTCCAAAACAAGAAGAAGAGGTCGAAGAAAAGGTTCCAGAAAAAGAAAAACCTAAGAAGAAAAAGAAGAAACCAGTGAAGAAAGAAAAAGAAGCATGGGAAGAGTGGGTTGAACCCGAGTACGAACGTCCTGTTTTAGAACCGATGCCTGAAAAGATAGAATGGGAACCATCTAAGAGAAGGAAGGAAAGTATACCTATGCATCTGGACAAACCATCAGTTGCAGAAATTTCGGCTCCGGAACCAGTTCCAGAGGAAGTAGCTACGTTTAAACGCAAACCTAAGAAAGAACCTGAAGAAGTTTCTGAGGAGACAGTTGTTATAAAACCACAGAAGAAACAGATTGAAGTTACTGAAGATGTAACAGAAGAAGTTACATTGAAGAAGGTACCGAAAAAAGAACCGGTTGTTGAAGAAGCAGCTGATGAGATAGTTATTAAAAAGCCTGTTCCTAAAAAAGTTGAAAAAGTAGTCGAAGAAGTTACTGAGGATGTGACTATCACCAAAAATTTGAAGCCTAAACCAAAACCAAAAATAGAAGAGGTTTCAGAGGAGATAGTGATCAAAAAACCAGTTCCTGAGGAGGAAGAAAAAGTCGTTGAAGAGGTAACAGAAGAAGTGACACTCAAAAAGAAGCCTAAGATAAAGCCTACAGTTGAGGAAGCTCCTGCAGAAATTACTATCAAAAAGCCGGCACCAAAGGAAGAGGAAAAACCAACAGAAGAGGTTAGTCAAGAAATAGTTATTCCTAAAAAACCAGAGCCAAAAACAGAAGAAGCAGCTGATGAAATGACCATTAAAAAACCTGTACCTCAAGAAGTTGAAAAGGCTGTTGAAGAAGTTAAGGAAGAAGTTACTATTAAGAAGAAAACCAAAACAAAAAAGAAGCCGAAGAAAGCAGATTGGGAAGAATGGGTTGAGCCTGAATATGAGCGACCGGTCTTGGAACCAATGCCAGAGAAAATTGAATGGGAATCATCTAAGAAAAAGAAAGAAAGTATACCTATGCATTTGGAAAAACCATCAGTTGCGGAAATTTCGGCTCCGGAGCCAGTTCCAGAGGAAGTAGCTACGTTTAAACGCAAGCCTAAGAAAGAACCTGAAGAAGTTTCTGAGGAAGTAGTTGTTATAAAACCTCAGAAGAAAGAGATTCAAGTTACTGAAGATGTTACGGAAGAAGTTACATTGAAAAAGGTACCGAAAAAAGAACCGGTTGTTGAAGAAGCAGCTGATGAAGTGACAATTAAGAAACCTGTTGTTGAAAAACCAAAGGAACAACCGGAAGATGTTACTGAAGAAATTACTTTGAAAAAGAAACCAAAGAAGAAACCAGTAACTGACGAAGCGGCTGATGAAGTTACAATCAAGAAGCCTGTTATTGAAAAACCGGAAGAACAACCAGAAGATGTTACTGAAGAAATTACGTTGAAGAAGAAACCAAAGAAGAAACCAGTTACTGATGAAGCTGCTGATGAAGTTACAATAAAGAAACCTATCGTTAAAAAACCTGAAGAACAAGTAGAAGATGTCAGTGAAGAAATTACATTGAAGAAGAAACCAAAGAAGAAACCAGTAACTGAAGAAGCTGCTGATGAAGTTACAATTAAGAAGCCTGTGGTACAACCGGAGGAAGACATCACAGAAGAAGTGACTTTAAAGAAAAAATCAAAGAAGAAAGAGCCAGTAATTGAGGATGCCGAAGACACTGAAATAACAATTAAGAAAAAACCGAAAGCCAAGGCCCAAGTCACCGAGACAGAAGACGTTTCTACAGACATAAAATTAAAGAGAAAAGTTTCCAAAACAACTGTCGACGAAGCTGCAGCTGAGTTAGTCATTGAAAAAACCGAGGAGGTCGTTGAAGAAGGCCCGGAAGAAGTAGTAGAAGAAGTCGTAGAAGAATTCACGATCAAACGCAAACCACCGAAGAAAGCTCCTAAGCTGATAGAAGAAATATGCGAAGACGTAACACTTAGGAAGCTCAGACCCAAGAAAAAGCGTCCAGATATTAAAGAAGTTACTGAAACAGAAGTAGTGACCTTCCGGCCTCGATCGACAAAGACTAAAGAAGACGTTGAACAAGAGTTCAAAATATCTCTCAACACCTATGAGGAAGAAGATATCTCAATGTCTGGTAAGGTTCGTCTTAAGCCTAAGAAACGCGCTCCAACGTACCATGAAGAGGGTGGAGAGGAAACTATCCGCATTATTCAAGGTCCCGAAGACGATGGTCAACCGATTGTTGAAGAAATAATTTACGATTCGGAAGAAGAGTACAGTATCAGCGAATTGGAAACAGATCAATATAATCTACCTCTCAGGAAGAAAAAGAAGCCTCGTCCATACTCTGTTGAGCAAATTGACGAGGATGATGTCAGGGTTAAGCTAAAGAAAGAGCGAAAGTATTCTGTAGAAGAAACTGATGAATCCTTGGCACTTAAATTGAAATCCAAACGACGTACATCAACGTTTGAAGAAGGTTCGGAAGTATTTTGTATTTATTTTATCTGCTTGCATACAGTCAACTGCTTCCAGCTTATATCTTGAGGTAACATTAAAATTAACAGGGTAGTATAAAAGTGAGTAGACCTAACCTAATAATCCCCCATGATCTAATTATTTCAATAGAAAGATAGACCGGCATAAGCGACTGACACTGAGGCTTTTAATATCAATGCTTTAATCTATTAATTTCAACTCTAATTGGCATTTGTTTCATAATGTTCGTTTTTAATCATTCGCAGAAGAAGCCAGTCTCAGTATCACTCGAGAAGGTGACATCTATGAAGAAGGTAATTATTATAAAATTTATAAGCTACTTACTCTTTTAGATGAAAGACTTTATCCATGTAATATTCTTGTAGATGAAGGAGATTACAGTGTCCATGATGGCGCTACAATGTTCTCCATTTGCTCATACGTGGCGGAAACTGACGAAGCCATTAATCTGGTGGAAGGAGAAAGAGTTTACGTTATTGGTAATTTAAAAATTATTTTTTGAAGATAAAGTTTTGATATTATTTAATAAGTAACAAATTTTATATTGTAAATGTTGTATTTAAATTTTTAGAGCACACAAACACTGACTGGTGGTTTGTTAAGAAACATTTGACCCAAGAAAAAGGATGGGTACCAGCTCAATATCTTCTCGATGAAGAACATTACACTATTTATCTGCAAAGGAAGCTTCATGAGAAGATTGATAAACTTCCTGTCTTTGAAAGTAAGTGATTAAAGATGGAGATTTTTTTATAAAAAATTTAATGAGCATTTTGAGTCGTGCACTTTTGGATTTTTTAAGCCTACAGATATTCTAAGAGTAACTTTATTTTCTAGAACCTGGACCAGGTGACGAATCATCTGCGCCGAAGTTCGTCAAGAAACTCCAACCAATCCACACCCCTGATGGTTACACAGTTCAATTTGAGTGTCAAGTTGAAGGATTACCAAGACCTCAGATCACTTGGTTCAGACAAACAGCAATAATAAAACCTTCTCCTGACTTCCAAATCTACTATGATGAGGACAACGTTGCGACACTTATCATCAGAGAAGTATTCCCAGAAGACGCTGGAATGTTCACATGTGTAGCTAAGAACGCAGCTGGATTCGCTTCAAGTACAACAGAACTAACCGTAGAAGCACCACTCTCTGATCACGGCTCCGACATGACAGGCCATTCACGCAAGAGTTTGTCCCGCGAATCATCATTAGCCGATATTCTCGAAGGAATACCACCAACATTCTCCCGCAAACCTAAAGCAAAATGCGTTGACGAAAACACCGACGTCATTCTGGAGTGCCGATTGGTGGCTGTGCCTGAACCCGAGATTATTTGGTACTATGAAGACACCAAGATCATCAGCAAAGACAACGTGGTCGTCGCTACAGAGAGTGACATGCACATGTACTGCAGCGTCATGAAGATCAAGAAGGTTACGAAGAAGCAAGAAGGACGATACAAAGTCGTAGCTAAGAATCGAGAAGGTGAAGCGTCTATTGAGATTCCACTGAAGGTTAAGACTGGCGCCCAAGAACCACCAGAAATTTTGGAGCCTCTGAAACCATTCGTCGTTCGTGAAGGAGAAACAGTAGTTTTGTCTACGCAGATCGTTGGTACTCCAGCTCCAAAGATCACCTGGTTGAAGGACGGTAAACCTCTTAAAGGAGTAACTCCAACCAAAGATGGCGATGTTAATACTTTGACAATCATTCAGCCAAAACTTTCCGATAAAGGAGAGTATTCTTGCGTCGCCACCAATGATCTGGGTACCGCAGAAACCAAAGCTACTCTTACTGTTGAAGGTAAAATTTTGTACTTTTCACTTATGTCACTGGTGACAAAATTGAAATGGCTTTATTAAAAAAAACTTACAGCCAGAACTGTCTAAATGTGCTTTCTCTGGATAAGATTGTCGTTAAAAGGTCATACGTACTTATTCTCTGAAACTTAGGTAGAAGAATATCGTAGCGAACCTTTAACGAATCTATCCTGTCAACGAGAGCACTTTTAGAAGAATTTATCTGTAGTCGCTAATGCTTTTGGCTTTGCTAACATTTATTGCAGTTTCTAAACCTACCTGTGAGGGATCACATTGTGACACCATATCAGATGCAACAAGCAAACATGCCTGTTCAGGATCTAACTGCGGAACCGCTAGCAATTCCATCCATGATCCTAATCCTAAATCATGTTGTGATGGTTCTCACTGTGGAACAATCACAGATACTTCTTGTAAAAACGGTTCTTGCAAGAAAGGTTGCTGTTCTGGATCACACTGTGGTACGGTCAGCAATTCAGCCACTACCTCCTATCCCACTTCCAATTCTAAGATATGCAGTGATGGCATTCACTGTGGCACTATCACAGACGTTTCTTGCAAAGATGGTTGTTGCTCTGGCTCTCATTGCGGTACAATTAGTGAACTAATTGCTGAAGCCATCCCTATTGTTGATCCCAAACCACGCTCAAACGATAAAAATGACAACTCAGAATCTAACTGTGACACAATTTATAATTCTACCTTTGATCCTAACACAATATCCTCCTATGATTCTGACAGCGATACGCTTTCGGGAGCTGTTAAACCTGCTTATGAATTAGACAGAAACGCTTTTTGTAAATTCTGCTGCCGAACAGTCTGTACAAGGACTTGCGTCACTAAGCAAACGCTTTTGATTGAGCAAACAATTAACACTTCAACGGTTATAACAATTGAAGGTAATAGTCGCCCAGACTTAGTACCTAAGAATTTTTACTAATCATAATATAAAATTTCGATCTTTTAGAAACGCCCAGTGGCGCTCCAGAGCCACCACTATTCACGCAACGATTCCAAGAGCTGACAGTTCCTGAAAAAGGAACATTCAAACTAGTCGCCAAAGTTACTGGCAATCCTGTACCAGAAGTAACATGGCTGAGAAACAACAAGCCATTAGGAAAGTCTCCTAACATCAAAGAAACTTACGACGGTGAGAACATCACTCTGGAGATCAAAAACGCAGACTCTGAAGTTGACTCCGGAGATTACAAATGCACTGCAAGCAACCCAGTTGGAAAGGCATCACATGGTGCTAAAGTCACTGTCGACGTTCCCAGAGTGACGTTCACCAAGAAGCTTCCTGAACAATTGTCTGTTGATGAGTACAAAACACTTGAACTAACTTGCGAAACATCACACACAATGTCAACGACCTGGTGGTACAATGACAAAGAAATCAGTGGCATGGATCACCGTGAAGTCATCGAAGAAGGTCGTGTTCATAAACTTGTTATAAAGAAGACAAGTGCCACTGATGAGGGTACTTACAAATGCACTGTCAAGAACCAAAGTACTACTTGTACTGTTCAAGTCAAACGTAAGCATAATTTTGCACTGCTCTTTTTATTTTTACGATAGTTTAGGAAGGTCATACTAATGTTTACTCGTTTTACAGCCACCAAGCCAGAATTTGTCAAAAAACTACAGGACTTTGAGGTGATTGAGAAAGAGGTTGCTATTCTGGAAGTTGAAATCACTTCGCAAACTGCTGACGTCATTTGGAAGAAGGATGGCGAGCCTTTGAAACCTCGTGATGATAAGATTGAGTTCGTAAAAGACGGGTCAGTTAGAAAATTGCTCATCAGAAGTACTTCTGTGCATGACGAAGGCGAGTACAGCTGTACTCTTCTGGACGAAGAATGTTCTGCAGAAGTTACTGTTGTCGGTAAGTTTAATGACAATATTCTCAAGTAAAATTTCTGGTAACTGATTGAATTTCAATGTTAATAATTACGATTTAATTTCTAGAATTGCCACCTGAGATAATAACAAAGATGAAGGACGTAAGAATAGCACGAGGTGACAAAGCCAAGTTCAACATCGAGCTAACTAAAGGTGATGCTTTGGTACGTTGGTTCAAGGACGGACAAGAGCTTCAGTTTTCTGAACACGTTAGCTTATCTATTGACGGCAAACGTCAGAAATTGAAGATATACGAGGCAACTTCTGAAGATGCTGGAGTTTACTCTTGCCAAGTTGGAGAACAGACATCCGCAGCGCGACTTATTGTAGAAGAACCAGAGATTGACTTCATCCGACGACTACCCGACGTAACTCTAGTGCCTCTGGATGAAGACGCGCTTTTCACGATCGAATTGTCCAAGCCTGACGTGCCTGTTCAGTGGTTCAAGAAAGGTGTTCCTATTAAGGAGTCTGCCAAGTACACGATAATCGATGAGGGCAGAGTCAAGAAATTGATCGTCAGTGACTGCAGTGTAGATGACGCTGTTGAATACAGCGCAGTCGTGCTAAATGTCAAAACATCTTCGAGATTGAAGGTAGAAGTTGTCGAAGCTCCACCAAAGATTTCGATAGAGTCACCGAAGAAGTACAGAGTGAAGAAAGGCCATGATGTTGACATGACTGTTAGATTTTCAGCAGCTCCTAAGCCAACTGACGAGTGGACCGTTGACGGCCGCGTTATTGTCAAATCTAAGAGAATCATCAAGACTTGCGACGAAGAGTCTGCTACTTTGACTATCAAGAAAGTCGAAGAGAAAGATGTGGGTGATTACACACTAAAGTTAGTTAATACTCACGGTGAAGCTAGCACTGAAATAAAGCTTATCATTGGCCAAGAGCCTGGTAAGCCTGAAGGACCTTTGGTCGTTAAGAACATCAGGCATGATCGCGTTACTATCCAATGGAAGCCTCCGAAAGATGACGGTGGCTATGATATCACCGAATACATCATTGAGAAATGTGAAAAGACCAAGAAGACTTGGACAAGAATCACCGAAGTCACGGAAGAAACTTTGACTTATGAAATTGATAATCTTAACAAGGATATTGAGTACATATTCAGAGTGATTGCAAGAAATGAAGTCGGACCATCAGAACCCTTGGAATCCGAGCCGGTGACTATGAAATCGACGTTTGACAAACCTGGAGCACCTCAAGGACCACTTGAAGTTTCGGGAATGACCAAGACGTCGTTTACTATTATGTGGAATCCGCCTGAAAGCGATGGAGGCAGTCCTATCATTGAGTACAACGTGGAGATGAAAGAAACTAGCAAGAAGAGCTGGACGAAAGTTGGCACTACCAAGGAAGACATCACTTATATCAGTGTATCAGATTTGAAGACAGACGCGGCTTATGAATTCAGGATAACTGCTTCTAATGCTATTGGTACTGGTCCTCCGTACTTGTCGGAGGAGCCTATTGTCACAGGAAAACGAATCAGTAAGTATTTTAGTGTAAATGCTTTAAAATTAATAACCAACCGTGAAAAAATCTTCTGATATGTTCATTTATAATTCATATCAAAATATGAATTGACTTAAAAATTGGTTATATCATACCAGATAATTTTTTCGCAAACATAGATGCTTATTTGCTAACTTTATTATGCTTATGCTCAGTATTAAGCAAATTTACTGAAGAATCGCTTTACGCTCTCCTTGGAATCTTCCCTTCAACTAAAAAAGTTGCTAGTAAATGTAAGTGCTTGTTAACCCATCGCTAATTTTGAAACTTCTATAATAATAATAAGCGAAACAGAATATTAATTCATGACCCTCTTTTAGCGCCGCCATCATGTCCGCTCAATTTCCACGTGGAAAACATAACCAGTAAGAGTGTAACTCTCAATTGGTCACAACCTGCAAGCACAGGAGGCTCCGAATTAACTGGTACGGTGGATTAGATACTTAAAATATAGAAATGAAGTGTCTAATAAGCGTGAAATTAGTTGCTAAAACATGAATGCTTTCATTTCGCAGGATATGTGATTGAGAAGAGGCCGCTTATTGGCAAAGGATCTAAGTGGATAAAAGTAGTAACATTAGACGCTACAACACATTCTTACTGCGTCGAAAACCTCAAGGAAAGTGAGTTCCTGTTCAGAATTTTCGCTGAAAACAGTATAGGGCTCAGTACGCCGGCCATTTCTGAGCCTGTTACACTCAAGACTCATGCAAGTAAGTGGATAAAAATTGTATATTGCTCTTTTTTGGAAGTACAAAAAATCTTGAGCACATTTTATTAAGCTGGAATGGGTTTTTAATCAAATGATTCAAATTTTTCAGACGTTCCATCACCACCAACAGCACCACTAGAAATCCGACAAATTGCTGCAAACACTGTAGTTATAGAATGGGGACGACCTGAATCTGACGGAGGTTCGCCATTAGAAGCCTATAAAATTGCAATAAGAGATACAAAGAAGACAATGTGGATAGAAGTCGGCCGCGTTAATGCAGACATTCAAAAACTCAATGTACGTGATCTCCAAGAAGGCCATGAATACCTTATGAGGATTTATGCAAGAAATGAAGTAGGATTCAGTGAACCACTTGAGTCTGATGAACCCGTTAAAATAGTTCCTGCATCTGGTAAGTTTCATTACTTGTAAGAACTAATTCAATAATCGAAATTATGACTATAATTGTAATTATGATTGTTTTTAACAGAATTAGCGGTAATAGAACCAATCGCCGAAGCAACAGAGCGAGGAGAAACAGCATCCGTGAGTTACAGCACAGAAAACACAAGTTCTTGGCTTCGAGATCACAATATGGATGCGGATATAAGTTCTTATGCGCGCGCGCGTCTTCTGAGAAAGGACGAATACTTTTTCCGAATATGGCACTACGCCAAGAAGCTTTTTAAATAAGCATTTCCAGAATTCTATCTCAAATCAATTGTTTTTTTCTTTTTTATGGTCGGCCTAAAAGATTTAGCAAGCTGATGTGGAAGGTAAAGTAGAATGCGAATTGATCAGCTTTCGATGATTGATTATCAAATATTATTTAATTTTTGGTTAATTACCGTGTATATAAGTTATGATAAATTATAAATTATAAATAAATTTATAAAAGGACGAGTGTAAAATCTAGTCAAACAGTTTAAATAATCGTTAATTGTGTAATCGCAAACGATGAAATAACCTTAACCTCTATTATATGGACAATCAACTTTTACGATGAGATCCTCTTTAATTATTTATTTTAAAATTACTGCTCATTTATTATTTATCCATTAAAGCTCATTAATTATTTATATTTATAATTAATAATTAATTATCACATTTATGGTGGCTTGTCCATAGCCAAGAGATTTTGAAAAATGTATTCTTCATTAAAATTATGTCTTTATTATAAATCTATATTAAATATTATTACACATGTAAAAGTAATATAAATATTCCTGTTTGATGCATGAAAGAAAAACGTCTACGTCGTGATCTTTCAATATCTAAGTGGAGAGGATTAATTATAAGTATTTATTGTTAATGTATTTAATTATCGTATGTGTAATTATTATTAATTATTATTACTATTAATGTAAACTATTATTGTAAAACGGCAATAAGTCAAATGACATTTATAAGTGTAATTCAATTAATTGAGAGTTATAAATACTGAAAATAATGAAAAAGACGATCGGTGTTTATGCCACGTGATGTTGGTACCCCGAGACGTAAATATAGGTGCGAAATTCCATCATTGCATTCACCAACGTCATGTTGCATGCTTCGAGTCTTTTTTATTAAAGTTGTGAATAATAAACGACTGTAAATTATGGGATAAATCTTTCTTTTTTTAGTCCTTATTTATCATTCCTTTTCAAGATTTTTGAGATCGATTAATTAGAAGCCTAAATACCTGCCAAAAAAGTTTTTTATGGGTAATTATTAATTACTAACATCCGACAATCACTATATGACTGTCCAAAATTACAAATTATGATAAAAAAACCTTTAGCTTAATAATTTTTGATATTTTTAATCACAATATTCGTAATTTAGATCAATTTTAAAATTAACATCGCTAAATGAAAATAAAAATAATTTATAGATACTAAAGTTTTCTTAAATTAAAAAATGGACAGTAACTAATGTTGGCACTCCAGCTTTTCTTCTAGAGTTAATATAGAGAGTACACTGACCGACTGTCGGTCTTGAACTAACATTCATACTTCTCTTTTTAACATCTACGGATAAAAAGAATATTTTAATTGATCTTCTGTTGATAAAAAAGTTATTAACGTTCAAATTTTTTAATTTTTAGAGGAAAATAACGTAGTCATTGATCTTTTTTCAGAAAAAAATTTGAAACTGACATAATATTTAATATAATATGAAAATCATTTCTTCAAATAGATGATTACTGAGAATAAGTAAGCTTTTAGTAGGTTAAGTGATATCTAATTGAAAATTCAATCATAATTACAGTAAACTATATAAGAAAATACATTTTCTAAGAAAAATTTCTGTGTTACAGGTAATAAACAATCAATAATTATCATCAGATACATAACTGACCTTACAGAAAAACATTAATTAGAAATACTAAGTAACAAATAATTGTTAACATGTTTCCATCTTATTATGTTAATTAAAACAATTATATGAAATTTTATATTTTAGTAAAAGTAAATTAATCGTGTGAAAATATTTCATAGTTAAGCCTTTTAATTAAATATTTTTTTTAGAATAAAAAAATATTAATTGAAAGTCTAAAATAAATCCTTATACTTGATAAAATAATAAACTGTTTTTGAATAAATTAATTAACCAGTAATAAATAAATTATTCTATCAGTCTAAAAATGTCAGTAAAAGTGGCTTTTTACTTTAAACTGTTATTTTTTCTAAGCAATTTTGTACTCCAGACAAAATACTAGGATGAATCACTAGACATTTCGCTTCTAGCCAGTTCAGTTATAGCAATTTTGCAGGTTCTCTTTGTCTTCAGGCAAAATAGAATTTTAAAACTCACAAAAAATCTTTAATAATACTTAATCCTTTCGAATGTTTCTCAAAATTTTAATCTCAAACATCTGCCATATTGCAAAATTTGTACGACAAAAATAACGATAGTTAAAATCTATTGAAACAATAACATAAAATATAACTTCCCAATAATTAATACCGCCTTTTTCACATCGTTATTTATACAAGAAAAAAAAAAACAAAATTAATACTCTATATTAGTATTGATAATCAGTAACACGAAGCCCACACTTTCTTCGTGCACGATCCCAGTAATGGTTTCACCTGTATTTCATTCTGCCTCATGCAATACGTTTTTAACGTACTATCTTCATGTTCTCATTCTATATCTTCTTTTCATTTTTCTTCGTTATAATATTATTATCATTATCATTTTATTATTATAATGCATAATAAATAACACATATTATACATTACACACCCCGACTGTGCAAAGCATCACGCGATTCTCCCACATATTTTAATTTAATCCAGCATTTTCACAACTCATTACATTCTAACTTTACTAGATCACTGACAACAATGACATTTAAAAATGTTTTTAAATTACTACTGTAACTGCTACCAGAATAAATTTAATCACCATCAATTCCGAGTAAAATAAAGTCACTAAAAAATATTCCCGAAGACATAAAAGACGAAACCTTGTAAGTAATTTTGATTTTCATTAACGCGACGTACCAGCTTGTTAGAGTGTAATTTATCGGTATAGAGGTTGCTATTTTAAAATGAATAAAATAAGTGTTGACGATCGCTACCACGGCTTGAGAAGAGGATATATTTACGAAAAATTAGTATGCCTATTTACAACAAGAATATTACGATCGATAAAACTAACAGATAAAATAGCAAGCATCGTTTAACTACTGTACCGTACGTTTTATAAATTAAAATTGGAAATTACAAAACAAGAAACATGGTTTCAGCCAGACTTTACTATACGGTTTAAGTAACATCACTCGCTTATCTACATCACAATCATCAATTAAATCTCATCTAATTAATATTTCCGCTTAATTTGTAACTGGTTGGATTCTTATGCTATTTTTAAAATAATACCTGATATCCCGGTAAATATTCTGGTGACTATTTTTTTTTTTTTTTCATTTTATATTTACGCAGTCAACAGTGAAGAATTTTAAGTTAAAGCTAACACAATTTATATCATTTCAACACAAATTTTATTTTATTTTTATTTGAGGTGATAAATAAATATATCTATTCTTCAGAAAGTTTTTGAAACTTTTAATTTATATAATGAAATGCATGATCTACACACTGTTAAGATTTTTAATTGATTGACCATTTCTTAAAATGAGATATTTGCCATTAATTTTTTTTTTTTGTACAGATAGCACGGAAGAAAATTTTCATTGTTTTATATTAAAAAAAATTTGATGAATTTGCAGAATTTAAATAACGATAATATAATCATCTAAAGGAATTTGGAAATGACCTGACCTCACAATTCTTCAGAAACTATTAACGAATTAATCAGATTTTTTGCTTTATTATATAATTACTTCTGTTAAATTGCACTATACTTTCTTGAATATTAATCTTTTTAAAGATAATATATATAAGCTCATCCCGATGTTACACTCATCAAGAACTTTCATTTGAGTACTCACATGCATTTTTGATATATTTTCCATATATACATATATATAACATATATTTTGAAGATATAAGCTCATTTCGATGTTACACTTATCAAGAGCTTTCATTTGAGTACCCACATGCATTTTTTATATATTTTCCATATATACATATATATATAATATATATAAATATATAAAATATATAAAAAATTGATGTGGGTACTCAAATGAAAGGTCTTGATGAGTGTAACATCAGGATGAGCTTATATCTTTAAAAATGTCAATAGTTCACGAAATACAAGGTCATTTTTCAATTATGTATCTAGAGATAGAACATTTTTGAATGCAGCATAAATACTTATCATAATAAATTGACAATTGGTGAGAATGATATGAAACCTTGAAAAGGCACAAATTCAAGTCAAGACCTTTGTAATGGCACTAAATTTCACTAAAATAACCGATTTTATCATACGACTATCCTGGACACAAAATTTTTCTTATTCTCTTAATAATATAGATTAAATTGTAAAATTAACTCTGGAGGTTTGAAGTAAAAAAATATTGATTAAAATTTTAGTGTATTGAAATTGAATGTCATAAAATAAAAATTAAGAAGTTTTTTAGCATTAGATAATTTCGTTGGTGTAACAGTAAGAGCGTAAAAACCCAAACCCCATCATGATAAGTCACAAAATATGTACAGTATATATGTGTGGATGTGAATATGAAGAAAAATAAAAAATAATCTTATCCCGAGGCGTGGGAATAGCAAATAGCGATAATCGCCGTGAGATTTGATAGCAATTTTTATTCATACACATATTCACACTTTTATAGATATTTAATATGGCTATTATGAAGCCCGAATAATTATAAATAATAATAATAAATGAAAGCAAAAATATTACATATACAGAACCAGAAGATAAACGAGTGTGTCCGATGGTGAACCGCGAATCTGGCAACAAAGCAGACGAAGAGGAAATAAAAAAAGATAAATTATAAAAGTTGCTTATTCCCGTTTTGCTGTTGATTTGTGCAAATTGTTGGCTCTGAAAGCCATCTGGCATGCTGCGTATTCCAGGACTTGGGTATTTTTCTTATCTCCCGGGGCAGCTCAGCGAAAGTGGAAATAAAATAATAGATCTAAAGGGTGGTAAAAGAGATCACCACGAGAGGCATTAAGAAGAATATGTATATAAATATACAGTGAGAGAGAAAGAGAGAGGAGAAGATTGAGTCGGAGAATAGTAGCCCGGAGCTCTGAATTTCT